TGCAACAACTTGTTTCGATATAATTTTCTTGAATAAAATTTGTTTCCTTGAACCTTTGCCGCACTCGTTTTATTTATTTATTTTTTTGTAAAACAGCTCCAGAGTACGGCGCGCAACACTGTACGCAAAATTAACATATGTACAATGCAACTATAAAAATTCCGTATCAAATATTCACTCGTTATACTCGAGATGTAAAAGACTGTATTGAGCAAATTTGAGTTATTACGAAAAGAAAAGAAAGAATTTTAAATGTTCTTCGAATTTTTCCGTTTTAAAAAGCCTGTTACGTTTAAGAATTGTCTTCAAAGTCGCATCGAAGTTTTGGCTTACGTTTTGTTCGCATTTCCAGCCTGTAATTGGAAAGCCAAGATTATTACACGGTGCATTTTAAATTAAAGAACAGGGCCACCATTTGCGGTGTTGATAAATTGTCAAGAGAACTTTTGTTAGCTTTTGAATCGGCGTTTCCATGTTTTTCAGTTTCTTAACTAGTTAAATGGCATAAGGGGAAGGGGAAGATTCCCTTGGGACTTCCTTAAATTTACAAAGTGTTTTAGATATGTAGACCACTTCGTCTCACGTTGAGAATCTATCTGTTTTCATTTTTTAGTCCCTGATGAGCGAAGTCTGGTCAAGCTGCCAACCAGTCCACCCCCGTCAGTACTGCTCAGCTCCACCCACACAAGACAAGACCTGACTCTGACCCGATCAACTCGAATGGGGACATCTTAAGAGGCGGAGGCAATGGTAGGGTGGGGAAGATGAAGACAACTTCTTTCCTCCTTCTCGTTGCCTACTGCTACTTACGATTTACTCAAACGAGAAGAGTGGGAACGAGTCAGAAAGAAGATTCTGATGGAAGACTTGAATACAATGTTGGTTGGTGAAATTACTTGTGGGTTGGGTGGGGAGGGTTAAATAGAGCTCTGGATGAACCTTAAATCAAATTTCGGCCAGAAGTCAATATACTTCTGATTCGCCTTAATTTAAGGTAGTTAAGTTAGTTAGTTGGGCCCCTGGTTTGGGATGGCTCTTCCCTTTAGGCTTTCCTTTGGGTTTCTTTCAGGTTCTTTCGAACACGTTTTGGCTCGAGTTCGGCTCGTCTTCAACACTACCTCGACAAACTTTCAAGCGCTTTTCAGTTCTACTTCGACATTACTTCGATTCTACTTTGAAACGGCTTCGACTCAACTCCGGCTATCTTCAGCAATATGTACTCCCGCTTAGTTGCGCATTTAAAACCAATTGTTTATAACGTTTTACTCAATGACACTGCGACTCCCAGCTCTGTGATTGAGTGAAACTATCTTCTATTTCGACCAAAAATTTAAAAAAAAAGTACTTCGGCAAACTATTTCGGCCAAGAGGTTCAACCAGACATTAACTTTAAAAGTAACTAACTGGAGAATTTAAGCCATTCAACTGTGAGGAGGAAGGCTATTTTTGCCCCTCCTGTGCAATTTAGTGGCTTACTTCTAGTTTTAGCAATAAGCAGTTAAGAGGGAGCTTGGGACTATGCACACACCTCAGCTTAGGTCGTTTACATCAAATTCTAGGCCAATTGTCTGTCATATTTTGACAGCTTGACAGCTGTCAAGTCAAATTTGGGCCACATTTTCTATCCAAGTTAAAGTGTTTTCAATTAATTGTCTTGCTGTGGCAGTCTGCTAACTGTCAGCAAATTTGTTTGAAGAATTTGTAGAGAAATTGGCCCATTAATGTTAGTTTTCACTTCACACTTTAAACCAATCGTCTAATTAAATGTACGTCATGGATCACACGAGGAACTTGGAGAGGACTCAGTCTGGTGTGCAATGTTCAGTGACCAATCAAAATGGCATAAGGTATGTGGAAACTTCTGTAATAGTTTGTTGTATTGCACTGGAATATATCATCCATTCCTATGCTTAGCTTTCGCCTGTTTTGTCACAGATGAGCACTGTTCATCAGATTAATTCGAACTATTGTTGCCAAATTGACATCCACCTATGTTTGTGACAAAACTAACAGCAAAGGTTGGAATGCCTGCTGTCTTCCAGTGTGAAACAACAAACCTCTCTTTCGGCTTTTGGTTCAGCTTTCGGTTCGGCTTTTGGTTTCGGTTTTCACTTCGGCTTTCTGTTCACCTTTCGATATGGAACATGATTGGCTCTAATTTACTACATAAAGGCTTGATAACGACTTACTCGCTACCAGGCCACTGCTCATTCACTGTCCAGGACACCCTAAGGAGTCTTCCAATCGGGGTGCCAACTTTTACTGGCACAGGAACACTCAGGGTTTCTTTGGACGCCAAATTTTTCAAATAGGAATGCGCTCCCCCCTCATGTACACTAACCTAGGTCTTGTGGATTAATGTAGAAATTATGTAATGTATTTGTTATAAAGAATAAAAACAAAACAACCTGTGCCTCAGGGTGTTATGTTCTTTAATTGTAAGGTTACAACATTTTTCAACAACTTGACAACATTTTTTATTACACAACAGCCTATTTTCAGGGGCACTATTTAGGTCCTGTGGATTAACTTAGAAATTATGTAATGTATCTGTTCTTACAAATAAAAACAAAACAACTCATGTCTCACAGTGTGATTTTCTTTAATTGTAAGGTAACAACACTTTTCAACAACTTGAAAATATTTCTTAATCCAGGACAGCCCATTTTCGGGGGCACTATTTTGGTCCTGTAGATTAATTTAGAAATTATGTAATGCATCTGTTATTAAGAATAAAAACAAAACAACTTGTGTCTCGGAGTGTTATGTTCTTTATTTAAGGTAAAATAAATGATCTTTTAAACAAGCTAACAAATTTATTTTGTCATCATCATTATCTATCTTTTTCACACTGCAGTTACTGACTTTTGTTATTGCAGGATAGCCCATTTTCAAAGGGCACGTCGGACCTCTCAATTAACAAAGAGATTCTGTATTATACTGCAAAACTAAAATGAGAAAAACCTGTGTCTCAAACTGCTTTGTTCCATGAGGAATCAACACTTTTTATAAAAGGAGATAACAAATTTATCACAGAATGATTATTGCTCAATTTTGAGAACATGCTACAAATTTTGCAAACATTCTGCAATTGACCACATGCACTCATTTTCAGGAGTGCCTTCCCTATTAAAATTCAAATTAGGACAAAACATAACTTTTTTCAGCGAGGTCATGCACTCCATTCAGAAGCCTTTTTGCTTTGCAAACAAATTACATTGAGCAGTTACTAACCAAACTATAATACAGCTACAGGTTCCAATATCTGCTACACCATTAACAGTAATATCTGGCAGCAGTGAATGGAGAGATCACATTTGATTGATGAGCAATTTTCTCTAATTGGACCATTAACTGGATCACATGTCACTTCCAGAGGGTAAGTAATCTTAAAACACTTTGCCAATATTCTCACAGATAATTTCTATTTTAATTTCCAGGACACTTCATTACCAGCCAAACCCTTGCACTAGAAGACAAATGATCAAAAGAGCAACAAAGAGATACACCATAAATCTACTGTCGCCTGAGGAAGTAAAATCACATTTCCGTTTTCAAAGGTTACCGGTAAATGCTGCAGACAATTCTCGTCAATTTGCTCCCCTAAAGGAAAAAACTAAAATGTATCCAAAATGCAAAGCGTTTAAAATTCAGGCTTTACTGGGATTCAATCCCATGACCTCCATGACAAAATACTTTCCAACTTACGAAATATCAAACAAGTGGGGCCTTTAAAATTCAGACTTTGATGGGATTCAAACCCATGACCTCCATCAAAAAATATTTCCAACTACAAGAATATGAAGAAAGAAAGGCCTTAAAAATTCTGGATTTGATGGGATTCAAACCCACAACAATATCACAAAATATTTTCCAGAATAACAAATATTAAAACAGAAAGCCTTTAAAATTCAGGCTTTCATGGGATTCAAACCCATGACCATATCACAAATTGTTTTCAACCTTATGAACTGTAAAATTAAAAAGCTTTAAAAATTCTGCCTTTGACTGGATTCAAACCAGTGACCCTATCACAAAATACTTTCCAGCTTCTGAAATATCAAAGGAGAGACCCTTAAACATTATGCCGTTCACAGGATTCAAACCCATGAAACACTATCACAAAATATTTTCCAGCTTATGAAAATATCAGAACAGTCAAGGCCTTAAAACCTAAGGCTTTGGAAGGATTCAAACCAATGACCCTACCACAAAATATTTTCCAGCTCATCAAATATCACAGGAGAAAGACTAAAAAATTCAGGCTTTGATGACCTTCAAACCCACCATTCTATCACAAAATATTCTCCAGCCTATAAATATCAAAGGCAAAAGCCTAAAAAACTCTAGCTTTTATGGGATTCAAACCCATGACCTTATCACAAAATTTTTTCCACCTCATGAAATATCAAAGAAAAGCCTATAAAATTATGCCTTTCATGGGTTTCGAATCCATGACACTATCACAAAATATTCTCCAGCCTATAATATATCAAAGGAAAAAGGCTCTAAAATTCTGCCAGGCTGTCATGGGATACAAACCCATGACTCTATCACGAAGTATTTTCCACCTCATAAAATATCAAAACAGAAAGCCTATAAAATTCTGGATTTGATGGGATTCAAACCCACAACTCTATCACAAAATATTTTCCAGCTCATGAAATATCAAAGCAGAAAGCCTATAAAATTCTGGCTTTCATGGGATTCAAACCCATGACCCTATTCCAAAATATTTTCCACCTCATGAAATATCAAAACAGAAAGCCTATAAAATTCTGCCTTTCATGGAATTCAAACCCCTCACTCTACCCCAAAATATTGTCCAGCTCATAAAATATCAAAGCAGAAAGCCTATAAAATTCTGGCTTTGATGGGATTCAAACCCATGACT